TGACCGTAACAACCTAAATTAAGTTCGTGCCTTCGTCTCTCACCCGTATTTCATTTTCGTCAGCCGGTTTTCTCGGTTTAAAGATTACCATACCACCGCGGTGGCAGAGAAACTAGTCTTACACGATAACGCCGCACGCAAAACCATCGAGATCTGAAATTGGCCATCGACGCTGATCATGAATGCGAAATCACTATTTCCGCCGTATTCCGTATATCGCAGACTTGGATGAAATTGATTACGGCAAAATATAATCATAACGCAAGAATAATACGGCTCTGTAGCTCAGGTGTAGCTCGTACAAATTAATAGCGGTTTCTTTGACTAATCAGAGATCTGGTTTCGATTCAGGAATTCAATCGTATCTAGAAGACAAAAAAAATTATTTCATAATCGTTAAAATTGATTGGTAGTATCTGTAAATATGTACTAGAATTGGTAATGCGATATATTAAAAATCTTAGGAATGAGATATATACTTTACACAAACAGTTCTCTTATTTTTATTGGGTCGTCCGGAAAGTTCGTGCGTATTTTCCGCACGGACCTTTCCGGATAACTTAAGGTTGTCCGGAAAGTCCGTGCGTATTTTCCGCACGGACTTTCCGGACGACCCAATATTTATAAATAATTATTATCATTCAAGCCTAACTTACTTGACGGTTCAAATTTACCGTATTAACAGTTCCGGTTCGAATAAAAGTCAGGTATATATCTTTATAAGATGAGATAAAATCGTCTTCTTTGTGACACGAGATAATTTTTTTACCTCGGCGAATTCTCGTTCCGTGAATTGAATTGGATGCGCGCTTGATTAAACGATTCTTTCACGATAAGCGTCGTGCGGCTTTCCGCCGATTGAGCGCATGTTTCTTCTCGTATTTACGATTGCCGTAACTCATAAAATGAGAATCCAGCTGCGATAAGACACACCATATGACTGTCGCCGTCCTGCGCGGCCCGATAAGAGCGCAGACATTTAGCGGCTAAGTGGATGTAGATTGAATCGTCAATCGGACAATTTTGGTTTAGATCGGAAATCGAGACTGATAAATGATTCATGTGCTCCGAAGGATGGGCAGCGTGACGAATGCTTTTGTGTCAGTTTGTCTTATTGGGACACGACTCGTACGAGTCTTTATTCAATTCAATATCCAATTGTATCATATGTGTTATATATCTAATTACTGTGAGTGTCATATTTTAAAGTAATATTTCTTTTTATTTTATTGTCATTTTTTTAAATCGTACCTTAAAAAGATGGTTTTGTTGAAATATTTAATCATCCTTATTTTCGAGATGATTAATTATAATCTTAAAGTTTTTGATAAATTAGTTTTTCATATTTTCTATTTCGATATTTCCATTATTTCTTTTTTTCGTTCATCTTCCTTTTCTCTTTTTTCATTTTATTTACTCTTTTTGGCATTTAAATTCTCAGGGTAGGGGTATTCGCCATGATAGGATAATTTTTATTCACTGTTTATGTATGTCAATTTTTGTTCTCTGAGGAGGGCTGAAAAGTGAACCGAAACATGTAAGCGCGTTTTAATGAATAAAGAAGTTTCATACTTCATAGATATACATATTATTTGCGCGACGTCTTCTGCGCTTGACTCCTATTCATATCCTTTCCAGTTCTTTGAATTATAAAAAATCTTAGTTAATTTCATTTGTAATACGGATTTCTTAGTTTAGTGGAGAGAGAGCAAGGGATTGAGGAAAGGAGCAAGAGAGTGAGAAAAGGCTAAAAATGACGGATACGAATACTCATATTATAGTGTCTTGCTTTCACCCCACTTCTCCACTGTCAAGAGACGCATAAGTTCCATCACCATGTGAAGCAAGATCTACCTAAATAAAAAGTAAAATAAAAATTTTATTATATTTCTCGAAATTGAGACTGTGTACTTTATTTCTCGCATCGAGTAGAATTTACATGCAAAATTTCAAGTTAATTGCAAGCGGGGGTTATTTGAAACTATTTCCAAATTATTGTTTAGTATAACAAATATAGTAAAATAGGGAACAAATATAAAAAATAATTACAAGAATAATTTTTGCACTGTTTTATTGTAACAAAATCAATGTAGAGAAACGTATAAAAAATTACTTGTGGATAATTATTCTTGGGAAAAATGAGGTTTTGCAGAGATGATTTTATTTAATATATTTTAATGAAATAAATTTATCACTAATCTTATCAATTACATCACTGTGCGCTACATGTGCAGTCGGCGACGACTCTCTTATAAAACCTACAGACGCTTAGTCGGCCGTTTCGGCAACTCATGGCGATCACGTGATACTCATATACTACACGAGTGGTGACTTACATGTATGTGTTCCCCTCATACACACGTTAATGCTGTTACTTATTCTACGCGAAACTCATTGTTTTGTTTTCCTTTAATTTGAATACAGTCAAATGTATATTATATTTCAACA